GTTAAAAATTCAGGGTTGTTGTTTCTTTTTAAGTTTGTTTGCCTGATGATTTTGAATTTGATATTTTTATTAAAGAGATAAAATCTGATTAAAAACATATTTTAAGAAAAAAATGATGAAATAATGATTCTCTACATTTCGAATGGTTATATTTTTCTCTTTTATAATTTCTTTTAATTTTTTACTTGAATTATTTGAGTCAAGTAAATTTATTATTTTATTATTTTACAATAACTTATTTTCTATTGGCATACATGGTCTTCCACACTTATCATCATGCCTGTTTCACAGGAAATACCTGCTTACTACTAAAAAATCTAAGAGGTGGGCAGAGATTTTATCATATAGTTTCTTTATTTATAGCTGATAAACCCCTGTCTGTCACTTTTACTCAACTGTATCCTTAACTCACTGTAACTGTCAGTAATAAAGCCGGATCTGGCATCTCTCACCACTTACCTTGTTGTGTGAATGCCTCACCGGCATTCACACTATTGAGATCCTGTTTCTCTTTATTCTTCCTTTTTCTTTTTCTATTTGCTTCCGTACATTTTTTGCCGCTTAACTAGTCCCTCAGTTTTTATGCCATTATCACCATTCAAATTTTTACATTTTCTATCAATTCTGGTCTTTCCAGCTCCCATTGAAGTGAATGGCACACATCCCATAAAACGCTCTAAGTGGCATGTTTTTGAACCTTAACTACTTCCACATACTTTCACCTAGAACCACCATTCCACCTTTAAACCATTCTCCTGTTCTTCTGCTACTGCTGTCTAATTCAGCTTTTCCATAAGTTCTACCATTTCCCTTGAATTAATTTTTAACTTTTGTATGAATTATGAGGATTTGCATGGGTTGCTATCGTTGATATGGACTGAGAGTTAGAGTGCGTGCACTCTAAGCTCTAAAACCCTTCTTCATGTACGAACAAACTCCTGTTGCTTACTCAACTTTTGCTGAACCCACACGAATTATACATCAAAACGTAGGTATTTTTGTTGGCTTTAAGACAGTGTCACTATCATTATCGTGCGAGTTATGTTTTTTTCACAATTTGCCTCGAAGTGACACAAGGTCTGAAAACTTCCCATTCAAAGTCTATGGGGAGGTTGTGAAACTTAGAGCTGAAATTCTGTAACTGGAGGCATTTTCGAATCGTCATATCTCCTTAACAAAGCAAAGTTAAGACATGAGGCTTGTGCCAATATATCTTCAGACACTTTGAGTGTTCTAAACAGTTTTTACAATTATCTTATCGTTGAGCGATGAATTACGTTTGTTTGAGGGGCGGAAATCTGTCCTCTCAGTTTTCAAACTCTGGAAATGAAGCCGTGTGGTCATATCTCCGCGATGGAGGTACAAAGACCTATGTACCTCCGTCACAGTGAAAGTTCACCAAAGTCTGCTGATTCACCCAGTACAAAAATTATGCTTCTATCCCACCTACTTTTTGAGTTGCACAACATTTTGTAACACCAAAAAACGGCATTTTTCGCCTCTCACCGCAATCTAATTCTGACTCCTCATCACTCTGTTTTCTGAGCCCCCCCGCCCCTGTTCCAGGTGGCACAATTGGTTATGACACGGGTCTGCAGCCCAAACGTCTTGGGTTCAATTCCACCTTGTTCCACAGGTTTTTTTTTTTAACTACAAATTAATACACTATCACAGTCCTGCAATTTATATTGCTAATTTATTACAATTCTGCTACGTTTTATGATTTTGGCAGCATTTCTAATATGGACCTCAGATTCTTGTTAATGCTCCATGGCAGAAATACATACAAGTATACAGCCTGATGAAGCAGACAGAAGTAGTACCTCTGATTGGTGGACTAAAATTTAGCAGAACCAGGTTGTTCTGCCTCTTTTCAGCAGAAGGTTCAGCGTTTTCACCTCTTATCAGCACAAATCTCAGCCTCTTCTGCTTTTCTTTTTTTTTGTCAGAATTTTCAGCTTTTTCACCTTTTTTAGTTATGTGAGAACCAGTTTGGCTCAATGAGTAGCTGAAAAAATTTCAGCCTCTTCTGCTCTTTCAGAAGAATTTCAGCCTTTTCACCTTTTTCTAGCATACAGTTCTGCTTCTTCACCTCTTTTCACAACAATTCAGCTTCTTCAGCCCCCTGCACATTTTTTCTCTCATCATATCTCTCGTTGACACAAGAACTGCTATGGTTCAGTGAGATGAACAGCTGCTGTGAGATCTGTTGGTGCAGGTTTGAATCCTACTTGTGGCTGTTAGCACACTTCTGCTCTGCTTGCATGCACTCTGCTTTAGTGACACTGTTCAGTGTACCCTTTTTAAATAAACCAGTTTTCAGCAAACAGTTCAGCTTCTACACAGTTTTCAACAGATAGTTCTCCTTATTCTGCTGTTTTCAGATTCCACTACAAGGCATTCACACAGCATTTTCGCAGGAAATGCAACTTTTTCTAGTTTTTAACTGTTTGCCACTTTTCTGGATGGATGGACCTTTTGCGCATTAATATACCGTTTCTTTAATGATACACTGGAATGCTTTTTTTTTTTTCAAGATTCTTCAAAACTTGAAAATGCTCTGCCTTTAGATTTAGGTTTATGCTTTTTTTTAGCTTGTAAGCTTTGCCTTTGAGACAGCTCTGCAATAAAAAGGGGACGCGGAGATAGTGAAACAATTTTAACACTCCCTGGATTGTACTTATACCTCAAAAAGTTTGTTATGCCTAAAAGTAAATGTAAAAAAAAACTCATGTTATAATTAGCCATAAAAAATTACAGCTCTATTAACTGCTAAATGCAAGAAGGGTTGAACATGACCTAATGTGCTGAAAAGCATTGGAGCGGCTCTGCTGAACAAATACCATTTTCAAATGGTTATTTTTCTGCAAAAAATATTTATTTCATTGCATAAAAGACAAAACATATGTTGCTACAGGTAAATCTTTAATAGGTCAATGACTTCTGTTATTGTTAGTGGTTTGAGTTAAGGATTTTTTCTTTCCAGCTGATTGTGCAGCCTATGATTGTGTGTGTACATTTGCTAAAGTGAGTGTGTGGCCATGTGTAAAAAGGCCTGAGTGTGTGTATATGTTTGGCCCTCAGTTCTCCATCCCCGTTTCATTCTGACTCTGGTCTTCTTATTCTCTGCACTGCCACTGATAGCACATGTAGGTGAATGCTTTTTGTGTTCAGGGGAGCTCAACTCTTACAGCAACAATCCCATAGCATCCTTTATGCAAATAGTGGTTCCATTAATGCTGTATGAACCAAGTCTTCCTGCTAAGTCTGATCAAGCTTGGTGGAATTAACTCTTTGATGCTAGTATCCACTGTATATGTAGAGCATACTCAGCTTCTCAACTCCAAACTGATGATTGCTGCGATGGCAACCACAGAGTCGAGCTCCTGCGACTGTTGAAGCACCTTCATGGTTATGTGTTACATGCCTTCTCTCGCCTTTTTTTCGGTCAATGTCAGTCTTGCACCAGTGCCCTTTGACTTGCAACATAGTGCATACTGTAGCTAGTAGCAGTGTATGTCAATGTCTAGTTTGTCTCCTGTATATTCTTGTAGAGAAGGCTTTTTGTGTGCTGAAATATATCTCTGGAGCATTTCATCAATCTAGAGAAACTTGCACATAATAAACCAAATTTAGCAAAGAACCTGAATCATTTGAGGGGATAGGATCACTTCAGCACACAGACTGATTTCTCTGGGTGAAATTTATGTTTTTATTAAACAGTTTGTTATGATCAGTGACCTAATGTCTCTTTGTCTAACCCTCAGCGCCTCGTCAAAATGAATATGCCTATTGCTGATGACAACACAGTTCACTTTACCTCCACTCTGATGGCACTGATTCGCACAGCACTGGAGATCAAGTTGGCGTCAGGTTAGAGGCACATAATTATACACTGATAACACTGTGTAGACCCAAAATGGTCTAAGTAATCTTCAATGTTAACCCTAATCCTAACCTTATCTTTGGAGCAAAGCAAAAAGGACAGTTGTGGGGGGAAAAATAAATAGTTTTTGATGTGTGTCAGTTAGAATTATTACGTTATGGTTAAGGTTATCACTATTATGACAAGAGGTTGAGTCTCTTTTAATCTCTCTTGATTTTGTACTTGTAGGAATGGTAGCCCAGCGATTATGTGATGCAGAGTTAAAAAAGGAATTGTCCACAGTGTGGCCCAACCTTTCCCAAAAGACCATGGACCTGTTGGTCACGCCACATAAACGTAAGCAAATTATCAGAATTTTAATTTTCTATTCATCTATAGATGACATACATAAAAAAGTAGTCTTTTTCTTTTTTTTTAAATTGTGGCACTTAGAGTTGATGCTAAAGAGAAAATTAATTAATAATTAATAATTAATTGACTTTTAATTGAACATTATAGTACCATTCCCAGACTCTGGTGTCCTTTCATAATACTATATTCATATTATATTCATAATACTCTTTAGTACACTATAGTATTAATACTCTGACTAGCAATTTTATATGATGGATCATGCAGAAAAAATAGAATTGGGCTGAAAGGTCTATTACATTGTTAAGTATTCAGGTTGTGTGTCGTGTTTTTAAAAAGTAACTAAGTAATAAAGTAACTAATTACTTTTGAAAATAAGTAATTAGTGAATTAACAACATTTATTTGTTGGTGAAGTAATCAGTAATTAGTAATTTTTTTTCAAGCAATTTGACCAACACTGGTCATCATGACTTTAAAAATTTCTGACCCAAGGTGCAGACAGTGACTACAATCAAGTATAGGTTTAATTAAAAAAGACAACGGGCAAACAAGGCTTAGGAGTAGGTACCAATTAGCAGGTGGAGATCTGTGGTGAATGGCAGGTTTTCAGTGGAGAGTGGGCAGGTAGGCAATTAGCAGTTAAGTCAATGAATCCATAGGAAGTGGTGGGCTATGAGAGTGACAAAGGCTTATAACCAGCTGTGAACTACTGACTCCTCAAGGGAAGAGAGGATGGCTTTCCAAGGGATGGAGGACAGACTTCACCTGGTCCACAGCTGGTCCTTAAATATACTGCCATAAAAAGTAGATGCACAGCAGCTGTGAAAGCTTTTTCACCCAAAAAGTATCCCTAAACCACCCTATAGTGTGAGTTACTGTGTGCATGTGGCCATCCAAGACTTAACTTTACAGTTGATTTTGTTGCCACCTTTGCCAAGATGTGATCACCAGATACTGCAACTACAAAAAGGCATTTTGACTCAGAGGTGATTGTTCTGCTTTTCTTTTTTTTAGTTACTTACTATAAATTAACAAACTTGTTCACCATAAGAATTCCCTTTTCTTTAAACCATTAGGGAGACATGCAGTGCACAGAGATGCATTGAAATAAGAAGAAATGAGTCAGTTACTACTTCTTTTTATGTCTTGTCATTTCTTAAATAATTTCTTCTCACCCCCTCAGCCAATGAGCTCACAGTAGGGAAGGTTTATGCAGCCTTGATGATCTTTGACTACTATAAGCAGAATCGAGCTAGGAGACTGCAGCAGCAACAGAGCGCTTTGGGCTCCCAGGTACAACACCCTCATTACATATGCAGACATGCAAGGAAGTACACACACAATGGATGGAGTTCAAATCTAGATGCATGGGTGCACATACATGCTTGCAAACTTACACACTTTGAATGTATGCTGCATGTAAACACACATGCACAGAAGATACTTTGTGTTCACTAGTAATTCACTGGTAATTTGCAAAAGCTATCATCTGTTTTCCCAATTTATATAGAAGTACCAGGAGAGTTGTTACTTGCTGTTGTTGTATTAATCTTTTAACAGTTACAAGGCTAACATCAACCTATCTGCGGCCAGGGTCGAGTAAATTCTCATACATTTTGGCATTAATTTATCCATAAAATCCTTCTGAACCTTCTGAGTGTGCCAAGTGGGCAGAAATTCTATAGAAAAGGGACAGACATGTTCTAAGTAGGGGAAATGGTAACCTTAACCCTAACTTTTGAGGGGTCACCAGTAACCTAGTGGATGTTAAATACTTAATGACACTCTTGTCAGTTTCAGTCAAACATGAATTGGTGGAATTTGGCTGCTGACAGATGTTTATCAGCAACTTTGCACGCCTACTCTACTCGTGCATGTTTCCACACTCCCACATGCACATAGATATATTGCAAACAAGCATGACTACAAGCAAAGAATATTCTGGCCTAAGTCGCCACATCCAACTAGCCCTGAGCGCCTGTTGTCAGACCTGGGTCCAGCAATATTCTGCCTGCTGCCTCTGGATTTCTTCAGCATGTTGCCATCCATCTCTCCTCCACAGTGCAAGGTCGGGGCTCTATTTAAGCCATTGCTGCCTCTGACTCACATACAGGAGAAAGACCTCCCTAAGATGTTAAACAGTGTGGAGCCTCCCAGCATGCTTAGGTACCAGTCTAAATCCCATGCCAAGTCTCAGCCACAGACCAGACCTAGCTCCAACTCGCTCAACAATGGAGGCACTCTGTAAGTTCAATACTTCAGGAAAAACGCATAACAGATTCTTTTTTATATTCTGCTTGTGGTGTGTTGTGATCCTGTATTGAATAAACAGATAGATGGATGAATGATAGATGGAGTTGTGCTGCTTAACCCTATAATGCCCTTTGTTTCATATTTGATACATGAGTTTCTGAGACTTCTATCTAATCAACATGATCAATACTTGCCATAATTTCAATGCTATAATGTAATGGAAAAAAAAATTGTGTGAAATTAACATTGTTTTTAACATAACATTGCCAAAAATGCCCAGTGTCACAAATGCGATACAAAAATATATCATAACTATATCATCAAATTATATAGTAAACAACAAGATATAGCAAAAAATGTAGGTTTTGTTATAAAGGTTATTAAACATCTCAGTTCCAAAAAATTTGAATTTTCTGGCTATTTTTGATGGGTTGGGTCTTAAACTTAGATAAAAGATCTGATTGCTTCTTTCATAACTGCATGCATTTATGTTGCAGTGGCCCTGCAGAGTTTATTCTGCTATGCCAGTCTTCTATAAAATTGTGTAAAGGTCATAGTGGAGAGAAAATCAAAACTGAAATAAATGTAATACTTTTATGTGCACATTCTTTTTACTCCAGTACCTTCTTTGCCTCTAGGAGGTATTTGCCAGTAAAATTAATGGCTGCATTGACAATAGCTACTTATTTTAAGTAGCTATTGTCTAATAGCTATAGCTACTTATCTAAATTAACTAATGTACTGTCTTAGTCTACTGACAAATGCAAGAAGACATTTTACTGATGAGCAAAGGGCTGTTTGTTGTGTTTTAGCATTCGTTTAGCATCATACTACAGCATCATACTCAGCTCTGTAACCCATTGTGAAGCCGGAGCTGTTAACCCACCATACAAATTTTGATGTAACCTTATGTGTATTCCTCAGCTTTTTAAACTTCTGCCACGTTTGTTATGAGCATCCCCTAGTGTAATAAGAAAAAGCATTATAGGTTTTCAGATCACCAAAATCACATTGATATATTATTAGAAGTAAGTAAATCCGGTTTACCTGTGAGTGTGTGTCAGTTCTTCAAAGTACAAATGGTGCATTGCAGACCAACTTTCTTATTTGAGACCTGGTTCTTGCAAAAAAATTAAATCTTAAAGTTAGATGTAAAGGAAGTTTTTGGATGTGAGATCTGTGATCTCATCTTCGGGAAATCTTCTAAAAATCTGATTGCTTTTACCACTTATGAAATGACCCAGTTGACTAAAAGGCCTGAAAGACAATGGGAAATTATAGTGGAGTTATAGCTGTTGTATAATATAGCTGTTTAATTACCAAGAAATAATGCTAATTGATCAATGTGTCAGATATCCTACAATAGTTTTACAGCTAGTTTTGAATACTTGAGACTTCAATGACAACAGGAACCGCTGACCTTGTAAAAGTTAAACTGAACTGTGATTATTACACACAGGCCAAGTCAAGATCACACCATCAAGCCATCATCTTCCTGGGTGATTGATAAACCCAAAGAAGTGCCATGGGCTAAGAATAAGAGAACGATGTCCCGGGGCCCATCTGAGGACACTTCAGACACTGCCATCAATCAGGTAAAACATACGGATGCATGTTCAATATGAGCTGTGAAAATATTTCAGTGTTTACAATATATTCCAAACATCGTGGCACAAGTGGCAGAAATAAGCTTCTTTTGGATGCTGGCTGTCCTCTTAAAGACAGGCTGAGGAGCTTGATCAGGAGTAGAGCCACTTTTTCTCCACATTGAAAGGAACCAATTTGACGTGGTTCAGACATCTGACTAGAACTCAACTGACTAGTTGAGTAATTTTAGGAAAGCCCTAGGCAGTCTCTTGGACAGGACTTGCTCGAGTTATGTCTCTCAGCTAGCTTGGGCACAACTCAGTATCCCCCCAAGATGAGGTGGCCGTGGTAAGGGAAGTCTGGGCTTCTCTGCTCAGACCCAAACCCAGATAAACAGTAGAAAAAGCATGGCCATATAGAATAATGTTTGCTATAAAATGATTACATCAATTTGATTAAATATGGTAATTCATGTCAAAGCAAGACTTCACATAGTATCCTTACTATTTGACTATTTTTATTAATACTACAGATGTGCTCATGTCCTATTCACTAGGTTCTGCTCTTCTTACTTTAACTTATAATCTTGTAATCCGTGTATAGATGATTGTTTTCATTCACAAATAATTCACTTTTGCTTTACTCTCAGTGAGAACAGCATAGTGGTTAGAATTATATTACAAATAGTACAAGTCTAGCCTATCTTTAAACCATTGAGTCATGGTGTCTGTTATCTCAATACTGAATTAAAGGAGCAGTGTGCAACCTCAGACAACAATCGTTGTTTGTTGTTGATTGTTGTTAATGACACAGTGGGTATAATTAAGCTACAGAGTAGTAGCGGGTAGAGTCTGTGTTCTGCTAGTAACATCAATTGTTGATGTCAGTGATTAGTGGACTCTGTTGCTAAGAGACCATTAGCTAATTGTGGTGTTATAGAGACACAGCGGGTCCAGAGAGTTCCAGTAGTCTTCTCAAATTGAGTCCAAATTGCTTAATGCACCTCCAAATGTCATCATTGCATGCTGATGAGGCAGGGTTTTGTTTGTATTTGTATGCTCAGGAGTCGGTAGAGATGAAGAAGATGGAGACCAGTGTGAGCAGTAGAATTCCATTCACTGGCTCCGGTCTGGAAAACCAGGGCCGAGCTGCTTCGATGCCTAGACTCAATACTGAGCTGCAGGTAACAGCTCATCTTCACCAAACTTACTTACTTACTTAATTTACTTATTGATTTCATTTCTTATCGATTCTCTTATTGATGCTTCCACTGATTTTCATTTGGTTAGAGGTATTTCCTCTCTTTTTTGTGATCAGTGTTGCGGTTGTTACTCAAGTATTTTATTACACAGAAAACCTTTCTTTAAAGTAATGCAGTACATTACATTAGCATTTCGCCAGTCTCTTATAATTACTATTTAACAATATAAAGCTATAGGTGTTGTTAATATAAACCTATACCAACGCAAATCGGTGTCCTAATGTGTAGACACAAATAGATTCTTCCTCTTAGTATCTAGGTATTGACCACAAAGGCAATGGCAACAGGTTGTTGCCATGGTGGGTCACTGCAAAAAAAACAAAATAGTATTATTTTACTATTTCAATTTCATTGTGGATTCAGTGTTTGAGTTAAGAGTGCACATGTTCGCAAATGCAGTGATCTGATTGATCAGATTTGTTTATTTGGATTTCAGATTTGTCTAATTTCCAAAAAATTTGAAAAATCGATCTTGGTTCAAAGCAAAAATAAAATAAATGCCGCATGTTAGTACAGTCAAATTATTCGATGGGTGTGAATGGCTGCATTAAGAATACGTGAGTCTAAAAAATATGTTTAATGGACAAGGTGTGGCATATCTGTAATTAATTGATTTTTTTTCCATCTATAGGCCACACGGGTACACAGCCCATCAATGGGGGCCAAAATTCTGGCTGGGTTGTAGTGGATTCAATACTCCTTTCACTCAGTGACATGCAAATCAATTTATAACTTTTACGTGATGTGTTTTTTCTGGAATTTTGGTTGATATCCTGTCTTAATCAGAGCTCAGTTTCGCTCAGAAATAACATTACTGTTATTTTTCTTAAAATTAATGCAGAACGTTACTTTCCGGGTTAAGTAATAGATTAGAGTATTTGTTACATTACTTTCACATTATATCTGTCTATTTTCTCAGTCATCCAGGTCATGGTAGTATTGAGAGCTTGAAAGACGGCAGTTAGACTTCTTCAGGTTTGAGAAAATGTTTTACATCTTATCCAAGAGACTTTGTTCTAATGACAAATGGTGGAGAGTCCCCCCTCTGGGGCTTGTCTCATTTGGATGTGAACCTCAGGGTTGTTGACAAACTATTAATTATATGAGTCATCACCTGAGCCCAGCTGTGAATAAATGTTTGCTGCATTACCATAGCCAGGCTTAAGGGTGAAACCCACCCCATAATGTGATTTATTGAGGACACCTGAGACAAGATGTACATGGGGTTGAGGTGCCTGGGACAAAATCTCAAAATTTCTCCGCCTCGCACCTATGTCTGTTTCAATATCTTACCCCACCCCTCCCTCTAACAGACGGGGATGAGTGCGCTAACATACCTGCAGTTGCTGTTTTAATGAGTGTTTGATGGAAAACGACAATGGCGGAGTTTGCGGTCTCCAGTCGCATGATAGCAGGGCCCAGGTAAATAATTTTCCAGCACGTGTACGTTACACATGCTATTTAAAAAAAAAAAAAAATTATGATTATTACTTTGCTAGCTATCAAACTCGCTGAAGAAATGATTGAAATGCACTGAGTGTGATGCAATACGGCAGCACTATTATTTTTTTTATTTTTTGGAGTAAATTCTAGCCTTATGAAACTAGCTTGGTTTTTACAATACTGCGTCAGAACACTTAACTATGGAACGCCAGGACTGCCATAATGAATTAATTAAATACACCATTAAATAATTAATTAAATGTGTCAATAATTAATTAAAATTGGAATTAATTAATTAAATAAATAGTTATGACACATGTAATTAATTAATTA